ATTTGCATAATGCCACCCAAATGTTCACGCAAAGAAAGAAGGCGTAACTTTTATTCTCGTTTTAGTATTGTTGCCGCCGCCATGTCGTGAAGACGCTGTATGTTTCGTTGCGAAAGTGAAACTACTTTGTTTGGCCTTCCAAAAAAGGACTATATCTGCTTCGTCATGCCTAGAGCTGATCCGTGCTGGTTGCTGAGGAAATACATCAACTTCGCACTGTGGCTCGCCAGATCGGCTTTCACCGTGGACGAAGCGGAGTCCAGCCCGTGGTCGTCACATGTGGTTGCCGCAAGCCCGCCGGCCTCTCCTTCATCGCTCACTCAAGCCCGCCACCGTTCAACCCAAATATTCAGATGTGTGCAGCACATTTTATGGAGGACTGTTTCCTGATCCTGGTAGAGTAGACTACAATGCTGGCTGTTCTGACTCACAGACTGTAAGTACGTTTTTTATATTTAAAGAATTTGCCACTGACGATTCAAATGCGAGTTTTGAGCAGTGTAGAGTAGCGCTTGTTGTTTGTCATTTCTCTGATCACAAATGCAGACATGGTTTTATGTTTACGCTGCACGATGCAACGCAACGCGTAAAAAGACAGTATAAGTCATTATAATCCGTAATTATGTCCCCACTGGATGCAACAAATGCCTCGTTTATAATGGGTTTTAATGTTTTTGTCTCTTCACTCCGGCCGGGACACGGCATCACAATATGGTAAGGGGCGTAACATTTCCGTCACACGCTTGAGGTATCCGGCCAATCACAACGCATTGGGTAGCTGGCCAATCAGAGCACACCTCGCTTTTCAGACTGATGAGCTTTGTAAAAATCGACGCATTTCAGAAAGGCGGGGCATAGAGGAGAAACAATAATGTACAGTATGTGGAAAATAATGTGTTTTTTGAACCTTAAACCGGATAAACACATTTCATTACACCAAATACACAAAATAATGTTCTTTTTAGCAACATCATATGACCCCTTTAAGCTGGATTGCTAACCAGCGTAAAACGGTATGGTGCTGTCATGTGATGGGTTAATATCACGTGACAGTCAAGTTCTGCTAACTGTAAAAGATATTCTGACAGCTAATAATCGACTATAACCTTTTGTTCAAAAGATCTTGAGTCACTACATTTTAAGGGCAGCTTGATTCAACTAATTCAGTGTCACAGCAAGCCAAGATGTGCAGAACCACAAATGAGAAAAGCACAAAACTGAAGTAAAGCATAAACCATCAGCATCAGCCTTAAAAATTACTCATGCACACAGACAAAAAATAATCACCTAACTTTGATTACCTCAAATTAGCAAAGGCTACTGATACAGATAAATAAATTAAAAATAAATTCTAACAATAAGTAAAATATCTATAAATAAAACAAAATTATCTAGCTAAATTCTTATCTCTTAATTCGCTTAATGGATTTTCTTCAAGTACTTAATCTATTAAGGTAAAATAGCAAACTCATTATATATGTACTGACGGTCATTTTAAACAATAAAATAATTAAAAAACTTTACTTTTTGTGTATGTGCAAAATTATAATAATAATGTATCGTTTTAGTTCAATTTAAATTCTTAAATTCTAATTAGTTATTTAAATTATTTGAAAAATATTATTAATATAATAATTGTAATTGAAATAAATTAAAACTCAACAAATTTTGTTATTTAAAATAAATATGTTGGCTTTTTTTCCAGACAGCCAAGCTGTGGCAGCTGCGATAAACAACCATTGCTCCAGTTTCTTCCACTCTCTCACACACTCACCTCATCTGTGGGCTGTTGGAGAATCGGGAAAAACTTCTCTAGTTGCTCTAAACCCACCAGTGCAAAACGGTTCACTGCCTCAACTGCAAAGGCAGACATACTGTACAATGAAATCACCATTATCACACTTAAAGACATGCATTTTGATCAATGTTTTAGAAGTGTATCTGTTTCTTTTGTCCAAGTATGTCCTGACTATAAGCATTTGATTTCCATTGAAAATTTTAGATTTGTCTAGGTTTATGTTATTTCAATGTTAGAGATACCATATGAGGGACTCACTTTCTGGTTCTAGGTTCTGTAGCAGAGGTGCTGCTTGTTTCAGGGCTGCTGTGGATGCACTACGGACACCTAGCTCTGCTACACCTCCTACAAACCCGAGCAGCGGGTAACGACCTTTCACGCCCATGTAGACAGAAGAGGCCTGCTGCAGCGCTGAGCTGATGAGTGGCAGTTTTGCCACACGCTTTAGCACATTCCCCTGCACAGGAAAGACAGTGTCTTATTAAACATGGTAATGATGCAATAGATGAACAGTGTGGAGTGACCTTGCAAGAAAACTCACCTCACTGTTTTTTGTTCTAGACATGTCTTCTTTGCGCTCTGGAAGCAGAACGTAAAACATTCATGTATGATATAGAGTGTTTCTGCTACTTTTATTTTTTTTATTTCTTCTTCGTACGTCTGACAGCATCATTTAATTTCAGCGATGTCAATACTGTTCTGGATTGAATATTTGACCTGCCCATGCCAAGTCAGCTGATGTCACAAGACAATACCAGTCTATGTTAGAAACCCTTGCTGTGGAAATTACATTAAGCATTTAAATCACACAGGCCAAAATGATCTACCATTCAAAAAAAGTATAGAATATGGGAAAAAATAGAAGTCATGAAGCCTTGAAAATTAGTGTGATCAAATACCATGGCATTTAAACTTTTATGAAAAAATAATGCATAGAAGACCAGTTTATTTTTAATTATTTTCTGAGGTATATTTGAGAAACATTCTTGCAGTAAACAATATTGTGGGATAAAAAGTGTCAGTGGTTTAGAATCTGTCATTTGATCACTGGTGCCCCTGAAATATCATATAAGGTAATGGCCCCAGACCTTCAACCAAAAGCAACGAGACCATCCAAAAACAGGCATTTTTAAATGTTTTTGAAGTCTCTCAAACATATCTTAAGATCTAATGGAATTTCCAGATCAAAGGGTTCTTCAGAATGTTATCTCATGGAATAAAATCCATCTGTGTCAAATCTGATCAAAGCATTCTCACAGGCCCGTTTATAATATCAAATTTGTTGCATTCAGATTCACTCTTACAGATCCCAGTGGAAGTCAGTACTGAGCTTATCTGCAAAAAATTTTTTTATAAATAAGAATAAAAAAAATCACATTAAAGGGTTGGTTCACCCAAAAATGAAAATTCTGTCATTAATTACCCTCATGTCGTTTCTAACCTGTAAGACCTTCGTTCGTCTTCATAACAAAAATTAAGATATTTTTGATGGAATCTGAGAGCTGTCTGACCCTGCATAGACAGCAACGCAACTGAAATGTTAAGTTTGGCTTAACTAACCCTTTAAAGATAATAATCACAACAAAAACACATTTATAATCTTAATTTTTTATTAATTTTGGCCTTAATAAAATGGTCTAAAATGGTGTTGTGAGTGAAATAAATAGAAAAATAATTTTAAGATGAAGACCAGACATGGTACTAGACTTGTAAAGCTTGTGTGAATTTGAAACAGACCACTGATCAAGTCTCCAATGCTTCAGGTCATGCTTGCCTTTCATTATCTAAATAAGATGCAAGGGTAACTGATCCTGGTTCAGGACTCTATATGTTAAGCACCTGTCTATGTTTATGTTACAGTAAACCAAAATGATCAATCTCTCTCAGATACTCTTTGGTCGTCAGCTATAGTTACGAGGTAATACATTTAAAATGTTGCACAAATTTGGTAAAAAAAAAAAAATGTATTTTTATTGACATTTATTTATTAAGATTGTAAAACTATTTTAGAATAAACTAGTTTCTGAGAGTAGTTGTGTGACTACAAATTGTGCGTTTGTCATGCTTTTGGTTATTATAGACAGTAAGCGGAGTGTCAAAACAGCAACAGTTCTTACCTTTAAGATGAATGAGGGAGTCCTTTGTGATGGTAAAATGTAGAAATAAAAAATATCTTTATTACAAACCTTCTAGATTTGCCCTTTATATTAGGTCTCAGTCCTTGTCTGCTGTGTCTGAAATGAGGGTTTGGTTGGATGGTTTTGTCATTTTTCATGGTAGATGCATGTGATGCCCCTCATTTAGGGTGCGGCCAGTCTACGTATGCCGAGACGTTTTCATGGCGTTGTGTGCTAGTTTGTTGGTTTACCTAACAGTGACAAAGACAGTCTTAGGACTGTATGATTGTGTCTGGTTCTCACATATGACATTTCTCACATTGATTCAGATGAAAAATAGTCTAGGACATGCGTGGGGTATCATCGTTTATACCATCTTTATTCTTTAGAATCTGTAGAAGGATAATATATATCAATGCAGATCTTTATTGTGATCAACAGACAAGTAGAGTTGTATAATTGTACAAAATTGTATGAACAACAAATCTCAAAGAATGTAACTTAAATGTCACTTAAACTTGTGATGTATGAATATATCTGCTCTGTACAGAGAGTCTAGTCAGTTATGATTCTAATGTCACAGTTCAAAAGTTTTAATGGGTGTTCAGCCCCCTTTATATCAGCATTCCTGTTCTGATTCAGAAACTGAATGAGGAAGCATGGCCTACCAGAAGCTTGAGGTTTCTTCCAAGAAAATCAGAATTTCATTGGAGATGAAGTATATTAAGGTCATCTCACGTTGCCAAGTCATAATTGAAACCCTTCACAAAGACTCTCTTTGGAGAGTCATGTAGTCTCATATCAGTTTGCCTCATTTTCCAACTTAAAAAATGACTCAGTAAACTGGACTTTTTAATAAGTGTAAACAATCATTTGAGCCTGGGGAATTTCTCAGACTTGCCATGAAGCTTCTGGAGCACTACTGTATTTTTTCATTTTCCAGTTAAACATGTTTGATAACATTTAAATATCAGAATTTTTTTCTATCAATAATTGAATCAGTGATATAAGAGGGAGACAAAAGAACCCCTCATGGTCAATTTAGTAACTGGTGTAAAATATTTCATTTTAATTGACGTCACTGCTCACACCACAGATATTTGCTTCGGTTTAGCTTTAATACCATTCATTTACTTTAAGACAACCTTAATATAGGCATTTTTTGATTTTCCAAAGGTTCTTAATTTTATTCAACTCATCTCAACCAGAAGCACATTTTGAAAATATCCAAATAATATTGGAGTGAAAATATACTAGGAGAGAGAATTAAATTGTGTATCACGTTTATTTAGCACATTCAGTGGGTGTTAAGAACACTAACATACAGGTGGGTGTGTAACATTAGCAAAGATCTCACAGCATTTTGCAGTACAGTATATGTCAAATATTCACAAGATATTTTTTTAGTTTGCACTAATACAACATTTTGATGTTTCCTGCAAATTAATTTTTGAACACCAAAGTGATTGTGTATGTCACGTTTTAGGGGAATTTCTCAGACTTGCCATGAAGCTTCTGGAGCACTACTGTATTTTTTCATTTCCCAGTTAAACATGTTTGATAACATTTAAATATCAGAATTTTTTACTATCAATAATTGAATCAGTGATATAAGAGGGAGACAAAAGAACCCCTCATGGTCAATTTAGTAACTGGTGTAAAATATTTCATTTTAATTGACGTCACTGCTCACACCACAGATATTTGCTTCGGTTTAGCTTTAATACCATTCATTTACTTTAAGACAACCTTAATATTGGCATTTTTTGATTTTCCAAAGGTTCTTAATTTTATTCAACTCATCTCGACCAGAAGCACATTTTGAAAATATCCAAATAATATTGGAGTGAAAATATACTAGGAGAGAGAATTAAATTGTGTATCACGTTTATTTAGCACATTCAGTGGGTGTTAAGAACACTAACATACAGGTGGGTGTGTAACATTAGCAAAGATCTCACAGCATTTTGCAGTACAGTATATGTCAAATATTCACAAGATATTTTTTTAGTTTGCACTAATACAACATTTTGATGTTTCCTGCAAATTAATTTTTGAACACCAAAGTGATTGTGTATGTCACGTTTTTAAAAAAATACTTTAATCTGTTGTTGTTTTCATGTGTGTATTGTCACATGGATTGAATCTTTTAATATCTTTCCATTTTGTCATATCAGTGATCCGACACAAAAAAAGTATCTTCTATACGAAAGACATTACTTAGTGGATAGGGTGCGCTTTTATACAGAGAGTGTGGCATGAGCATGTAAGAAGCTTGAATGGAAAGAAGCATTTTTCCATCCAGAATTACAGTTTAGAATCTAATATCTCTATGATAGACAAACCATGTGCCACAAAACCAGCTGACCGCTAGCGGTTAATTTGCGGGGAATTGATCTTGAATGTTTGGATGTATGTATAGGAAGTGACACTTCCTGTGTAATCTGTTATTGTCTCTGCTCTGCTGGCTCTCCTGAATCTTGGGCACATTTCCTGCTTGGGATAGAAATACGAGAATAATTTAAATGTTCTGGTTTCGGTCCTGATTCTGGTTCTTTAACAGTTGATTAACAATTCTGATTAACAATTCTTCTAAGGAAAATATATTTTGGGAAAATGAAATTACATTGCCAATTTTCAACTGATGAGTTCATTTCAATAATAAGTCAATTGAAAACAATTCTTATAATAGTCTTTTTAGGCAACATAAATGCAATCCAATAACTGACCTTAAATATATTTGACAAAAGTACTAAACAAACACGTGATTTTATTAATATTTATAAAATACTAATAACAAAACACATAATATGTATCTTTAAACTACACAATCAGTAACTACATGTTGTCATATGAACAACCAGTCAGTCACTATTCTGAATAGTTACAGAAGAATCCATTTTGGTTCCCCAAAGAACCTTTAAGTGAACATTTCATAAAAGAAACATTTTCTTTTCTTAGTGTAAAGAACATTTTAATAATCTAAAGAACCTTTTTCCACCTTCTTGCAATGGAAGGTTCCATGGATGTTAAAGGTTCTTCATGGAACCATCAATGCCAATAAAGAACCTTCATTATTAAGAGTGTACTATAGATGTGTTGTGTGTTCGATACATTAAAAAGAACTGACTCATTAAGAGTTATTTGTTTGCGAATCCTAATATACTGGTTGTGGTAAAGGATTTTGATTCAGTAAAAGAAAAAGCCCTTTTTAGAGCCCTTTTTTTTGGGAATTGCACTAAACTGCTGTGTTTTTGATTCATTAAAAAGAACTGACTCATTATTCGTTCGGGATTTGTACTACACAGGTCACACTGTATGGTTTGACTCAATGAAAGGGCTGAATCATGAGCCATTTATTCTGTAATTGGACTACACTGGACTATACTCACTATATGTTTCACAATGCAAATTCAGTAGCGGTGTTGTGGCACTGTGCTGAATAAATTGTGTAGGAAATTTTGAATTTTTTAAATAAAGTGTTAGCCAAAAAATGCACTTGCAATAATCAATAAAGGAGATTTGTTTCCAGTATTTTTTTTCTTTTTTTGTAATGGAATCAGCTCTGGAATTTTTGGTTCCCAATCTTAATTCTTACTCCATATAAAACACAGTACACTCTATGTCAGATTCAGACCTCATTAACAGTGAGAAGCACCAATCAGAGATAAAGGCCCAGGCTATCGGCAGGCACACTGGCAAACCATGACTTTACAAGTTCTCATTATAAAAGAGATGTGACAAAGTGGTATAAGACAAAAAAGTGAGGTGAAGGAGATATGCTTGAAGAACAGACTGTTGTTATTGATAGAATAACATGAACATCTTCCCCCTTGACTTTATGAACTACAAATGATAAAACGCTACATGTCTTTCCATTTCCCAAACATCACACCAAAGGGCTCTGAATGACCCCGTAATATACCAGAGCTTTCCAGCTCCAAACTACAAACACACCTCTTTGTCTATCTCTATATCACACAGGATTTAAAATAAAAATTAATCCAATCCACCTTAAAAAGGTCATCTAATGACATTGGCTAGTACAATCCTCAAAATAGTGAACCACTCTTTTACGGTGAAGTGAAGCTCTGATGTATGAAATTCATACAGACAGTGACATTCAGAGTGTGTTTGTAGCATAGCAGTGCAGATTAAGTTATTCAGGGCCAGATTTACTCAAAGTGCATGATGAAGTCATTGCACAAGCAATAAATCAGGCCCAGAGTGCTGCCAATGGGGTTATTGTTGTACAATCACATGACTCAACTTGTAGCTGTGGAGAATGTGACACAGCAGGAATCTCCGAAACATCTCCAGCCAAAGCAGAACAGAACAAATCACAATTTAGCATAGATCATACAACCTCTGTGTCACTTCAGTGTATTTCTCATACAGTGGAGAATCAGTACATATCATAAGACGCTCGTTACAAGCTCCTTCAAAACAAACTCCTTCCACTGACTTTAAATAATGTGGAATTCCGTAAATCAGATGCCTCGAAAAAAGAGTCTGTTTAATGTGCGCCAGCATCACAAATCCACACAATGTCCTGTTCTGGAGTGAAATATGGAGCATTGAGACATGCGTTAAGTTTTATAAGGACAGTTACAGAATCCCAAACCTCGTAAACTTCTAACAGTCTGTGCATATGTTTTTTGTTATTTTCGTCTAGTTTATTATTTGTCATGTATGTTTGTGTTTAGGCGGTGTGTATGTGTGTGTATATGTGAGCAAGGTGAGAATGTAAATGTGTACTTGTGTTTTTAAAAAGATGCATTTCCAAGGCCCATCATTGCATTAGCAATGACATAAAAGTTGGCTCAAGTCTTTTTTTTGTTTTGTTTTTACAAGTCCTCCTGATAATCAGCTACCTTCCATGTAGTGACGGTAACAAAGGCATCTTTTCCCAAAACTCTCTCTTTCATCATTAAATGTTTCCCGTGTGCCTGTGTTGAGCGTGTGTGTGGAGAGAGAGCGTGGTCAAGCTCTAATATTCGCTGAGCGTGTGCCACTTTGAGATTTGGCGCCGTGGGTTTTGGCAGACCTCCTGCCAGTGGGCGGCTCCCAAGGGGCAGGGGCTGTTTGCGCCGAGCAC